TATTAGATTTCATGTGTCGTGATGTTAAATATTTGTACGTTTTTGATAACCGATAAGAGAAATAAATAAATTTTTTTATTTATTGCTATTATAATTCTTGTATTTTTCAAACGTCATAATAATAATAATAATAATAATAATAATAATAATAATAATAATAATAATATTTAGAATGTGTGTGTGTCGTTAAGAGCATGGAAAAAAGAAAAAAATTCAAGGCTTTTTTTTTTGTTAAACAAATAAGTGACAACTTACTTGCATTAAAAAAAAAAAAAGTTGTTTTCATAAACTTTGCCAAGTTAATTTTTTTCAAACCAAAGGAAAAAACTTAATAATTATTATCATTATTATTATTATTTTAAAATAATTGCATATGTTTTCCATTAACAATTTATTTATATATATAGTAACACAGTCGAAAATAATAATTTTTTTTTTTTAAACAATAGGTATAATGCGTACGATTTACGAAGATTTATTACAAACTAAAACAAATGTTAAATTAATATTAGTAGAAAGGAATACGTTATTAGAATATTTTTTACCATTTTTATCAAGTTATTCAATATCGAAATTAATAATTAATTCAATATGGAAATCAAATTCAATTGTAAGAATTCCATCATTATCATCTTGTTTATTTAATTTACCAATGTGAGTAAATAATAATTTTTTTAAATAAAATTTCCTCAAATAATTAAATAATAATTTATTTATTTATTTATTTTTTTTTTGTAAAATTTAGAATCATAATGAAAGCAGCATTGAAGCCTATTTTAAAAATTGTCAATTTTAATTTGTCTTGAATTTGTTTTTTCAAAACAAAATCTCTTTTGTTTGTTTTTATTATTATTATTTTGTACAAATTTGTTTGTAAAAATTGTTATGAACATTTTTTGGCTAATATATACCTTAAGGTCAAATAAATATTTTTTTTTTTTGGGTATTTCCTTAAATTTTCCACTTGAAGGTGTTAAAATTTTACATCATCATTCATTAATATTTTTAATACTTATTAAATTTTTATAAATTTCCCACACAAACGATTTTAATTAATGATGATTATTATTAACATATGTTAACATAATGTTAAAAAATAATTAATAATAATAATAATAATAATGTGTTGGTATGAAGTTTTAATATAACATTTCCCTTTTCGTTTTTCTGTAACAAAACTACTATTTGAATAAATATATAAAAAAATTTTTTTGTTTTGATTAATGAGATTTAATAATAAGATTTTATTTTAGTATAAAATGCTTCATTATATATTTAGTGCCAAGTTTTTTTTTTTTTTTTTTTAATTCTTAAATAAGATTTGTAAATGGGACGAAAATAATAAGGAAATGGCACTGCATCGTTTCAATTTGTTTGTGTTTCACTATTATTATTATTATTTAAAAAGTCAAGATTACTTTTTATTGTATAAAAGAATGTTTTAATTTTTATAGTTTATTTTATAGTATGTGAGTTTAAATAATAAATAATAAAAAAAACAATGAATGGTAAAAAATACACAGGTGAGAAGTAATAAATTTATAGTAATAATAATGATGATGTTTTTAATTAATTTTTATATTGTTTTATGTTTAAATTAAAATTTTAAAAATTATTATCTGTGTATTTATTTATTTAACGTGCATAAAAATAAAATTAAGTTTAATTCGATAGTTATTATCGAATTTGAGAAGAGAAATAAAAAATTTTTATTTTATTTTAATTGTTTACTACTACTGTAATTCAAGTAACGATCATTTTTCAAAAAAAAAAAAAAAAAAAAAAAAGGGTGTGACGTAATTTTTAGGGGAAGTGAGTCGCGATGGTTGTAAAGTTGCCACCCTGATAAAAGCGTTTTCATAAAAAGTAAATTATTATTATAAATAGTTATTATATCTATGAATGAAATTTGTCACGAAATTATTGAAAATTAATTTTAAATGGTTTTGGAAAAGGTATAATTTAAGGTTTGTAAACGTTTATTCATTTTTTTTAATTCGTCAAATGGCGTAAAAGTCGCCTAAAAATATATTTAAGCTTTGTTATAAATCATACGAGAAACGTATCATTTCACGTTTTAATTTATTTATTAGTAGTCAACTTCAAAGAGAAAACATATTAAGAACGTTTTTTTTTTTTTTTTTTCCTCTCTCTCTTAATATTTATTACGTTTTTCATTTTGTTTTATTTTCGTTTTTTTTTAAATGTAAAAAAAAAAAAAAAAAAAAACATTTGATGATAAAATTATAATTCATTTAAAAATATTATCTGACCATGATTTACTATTTTGTATTAATTTATCAATTGGGAAAAAAATTTAATCACGTGCAGGGTTTAAATTGGATTATTTATAAAAAATTATCATTTTATGAATTATATTTTATAATTATTCGGTTTTTTTGTTTTTCTTTTTTTTTTTAAAAAAAAAAATTTTAATACAGTAAATATTATTTAATTTTAATTTAGAGTAAAACCCGGCTTATTAATATTTGTTTAGGGCTTCGCCATTTTCAAATATTTTTTTTTTACACAGGTATTTTTGTTTTATCAAAAAATTTCATCTAATTTTGTTTTTAATTTGATTTAAATTTTTTATTAATTTACTCATTGAAATTATGCAGTTTATCAAATTATTAAATATTAATTTGTAATTATTTATCAGGTTAGTTTGTAAATAAATTTTTTTTTCTTTACTCATACATACAACATCAATTAATTTCTTACTCGTATTATTTATCAATTAAAAGTAATAAAAATTTTGTATTCTGGTGTGTTTTTCATTTGTAATCATCTTATATTTTTCATGTATATTGTTTTAAAAAATAAAAAATAAAAAATTACAGTGCTTAAAATGAATCCTAGTGAAAACTCCAAAAAAAAACAGAAAAAAGGTGACAATGAATACAGTACTTTACCAGGATCTTCAAAAAATGGGACCAATATTCCTAAATCAGGTATTTATAAAAAAAAAAAAAAATAATAAAATTTTTTTATTTGAATTTGTTAAAAATGATTATTCGATATAAAATTACGAGTTCATTGATTTAGGATAGACGCTGAATTTTTATTACTCATTGTCATGTATTGAATGTCATTGACAATAATTCTTGGAAGCTAATTTAATTTTAATTTTTTTTTTTTTTTTTAAGAAAATAATGCAACAGAAAAAAAATCAAAAAAGGACAAACGGAATATGGAACCTGTAAAATTGACACCTGCCTGGGAAGACAATAATTTATCAGATGATGAATTAAATTTCAAGGTTAGGGTAGTGTAAATAAATAAATAAATAAGATAAATCTTACCTCTATAATTGGAACCAATTAAAGTAATTTTCCTACCTGGAATTGAACTTTTCATCATGAATATTTTAACATTTGATTTATTCATTTCAGAATTTATCAATGGAACAAGCTAATTTAGAAATGAATCCACCAGAGGATAAATTCTATTTAGTTTATTTTACTTTGTTACTACACGGCATTGGAACTTTATTGCCCTGGAATATGTTCATTACTGCCAGAGCAGTGAGTACTCATCACATTATTAACTCATTCGAAATCATCCAATAAAAAGCATACTTAATTTTAAATAAATAAATTAATTGTATGAATGAGTAGTTATTATTAATAAAAAACTTTATCAGTATTTTGTAGATACAAACTATCAGAGCAATATACTGGAGTTAGTTCAGATTATGGTACATATTTTTTGTCTTATGTGGGTTTCGCAGCTCAAATCCCTAATCTAACTTTTAGTTGGCTCAATATAATCGTACCACTCGGGTAAGTATGTCGCTGTTGTTGTTATTAATCATTCTACAACCCCCCCCCCCGGAGAGAGAATAAATTTAAAATGAATATTTTTAGGGGAAATTTAACAATTCGAATTATGTGGTCTATATTGATTGAAGTAGTTATGTTTGTAATCACAGTCATTTTGGCTATGGTCGATTCAAGCAAGTGGCCTGATGTTTTTTTTTGGACAACCATTTTTACTGTTGTTATAGTAAACAGTAAGTAATTTTTTATATGAGAAACATATTTTTTAGGGTTTAATAGGTTTTAAAACATGATTATTTTTTTTTTTTTTTTTTGTTAGTGGCAAATGGTATTTATCAAAATACTATTTACGGTATTGCAGCACGGCTACCAATCAAATATTCTGGAGCCATAGTTTTGGGTGCTGTGAGTACTTCAATTCCTTATCATTCAAACAATGTTTATAATTTTAGGATTTTTTAATATTTTTTTATTATTTTTTCCAGAATATTAGTGGTACTTTTGTTGCTATTATCGATCTTTTGGCTATTGTTTTAGCACCGAGTACAAAAACAGCTGCCGTTTACTATTTTATTACTGCTTTGTTTGTGCTTTTGGCGTGCTTTGATACATTTTTTGCATTACCTTTAAATGTAAGTAAAAAATTTTGACATCGATTAAATTTTTTTTTTTTTTTCAAGTTTAGTTTGAAAATAGTTTTTTAATTTTATGCTGAAAATTTTTTGGTATTGTGCATGTAAAATTTTACATAAGCTCTTGTGTGAAGAAAAAAAAAAAAAGCAGCAATTTTTGGTTGAATTGAAATTTTTCGAATTGTTTTTCACAGTTACAATATGTTCTCAAAATTACCTACCTACCTACCCATTCCCCCTTTGGGGGGGGGGGTATCATGGAAGAACAAATTTATAGTAAAATTACATAATTTAATAAATTGTTTCTAGAGATTTTATAGGTATCATGAATATTTAAAAAAAAAGTCTGAGCTAATAAATAAAAGAAGGAATCAGGGGAAGACAAAAATTCCTTATTGGTACGTTTTTAAAAAGGCATTTCCTCAACTGTTCAATGTTTTTTTTGTATTTTTTGTCACATTATCTATATTTCCAGCTACTCATGCAGGTAAATTATACAAAAAACAAAATATATATATATTTTTTCTCAAAAGATTTGATATGTTATCAGAAGAAAAAAAAAATCAACAATCAATTTTTTTCTTGTGTTTTTTTTCAGCTATTAAAAAGTCTGATCCAGATTTTTTTGTACAAGATAAATATTATGAAAGTGTTATGTGTTTTTTAACATTTAATGTAACTGCCATGGCTGGAAGTTTACTAAGTGGTTGGGTAAGATGGGTAAGTATAAACAATTAGTTTTCCCACTCCGCCATTTTTTTTTTTTCATTTACAAAAGTTCATTATCTCTTATAATTAAAATTTTTCAAATTTTTTGTTTTTTTTTTCTAGCCTCGTCCTAAATATTTGGTCATACCAGTAGCTTTACGTGCTTTATTCATACCATTTTTCTTATTTTGTAACTTTCAACCTTCGGAATCCTCGAGGGTATTGCCCGTTCTCATTAACAACGATTGGGCTTTTTGGTTTGCCGGACTTACAATGGGTTTCACATCGGGATATTTCAGCTCTTTGGGAGTCATGTACACTTCTGGGTAAATAAATATATTACAGCAGAGGAGTCATTAAAAATTCCCACTTTTTTTTTTTTTTTTGTGATTTTTCGTTTATTTATTCTCGACAGGACTGTCGAACCGGCTCTTGCACCCACGGCTGGAATGTTTGTCGGAGCAATGTTATTGACTGGAATATTTTGCGGTATACTTTTCTCCATGGTGTTACCCTGGCTCGCGCAAAATGTTAGCATGTAGTGTTCTTGTACAAATGACACCGTTCCCGTTGTTTAATTTTCAATCAATCAATCACCGGAAAATTTTAAAGTTGAAGAAAATGATCGGGGGAAAAATAATTAAAGGGTCGATAAATAAGGGTTGTTAACAAGAATAATAATAATAATAGTAAAAGTCTTCCAAAACAACCTGAAGAAAAAAAAAAAAAAAAAATTATTTAATTATTATTATTATTTTTTGTTTTTATGTTTTCGAGCGTGAAGAAAATTTTTTTTAAACGATATTATAATTTTATGTACACGAAAGAGAATTATTTATCCTGTTGGGATAGAAAGAAAGATGGAAAAGATTTGCACAATTTATATATACTTGATGATTTTCATGTTAGTATGTATATGCGCAACAATTTAAAAACTTTGCACAAGAGTAGACCACGTGTGTGTTTTTTTTTTTTTTTTATTATTATTTATTTATTAATAATAATAATTATAATTTTACAAAGAAGACCCTTCGGTGCAAAAAAATGTTTTTTTTTTTTTTTTTTAAAAATAGAAATGGAATTGAATGTTTTAATTAATTAATATATATATATATATATATATATATATCTATGTATTGTACCTGGAAAAAAGAAAATTATAAAATTAAAATTATTGAATTTCAATATTGTTATATAATATTTTGACTCAGGCTTTTAATAAATATCAATAGAAAAAAAAAAAAAAAAAAAACATTCAGGTACTCTAGTTTATTTATTAGCATGACTTTTATTGATTAATTTTTTTTTTTTTTTTTTTTTAAAAAAATTATTTCTTATTGAGACTGTTTTAAATTTTTCATTAAAAAAAAAATTTTAAATAAAAAAAAAATTGTTAAAATTATTATTTTAAAATTAAACAAAAAATTAATATATATAAATATATGTATAAAAATGGTATTATTAATAATAATAATAATAGTATGTGCTTAATGCCTTAATATGTAGGCACTCATTTATGTACAAGTGTAAAAAAAAAAAAAAATAAAAAAATATTTAAAGAATTTTTAAAAAATAAACAATAAAGTAGTAGTAGTTAGAAAGGAAGTTCCTAATTAAAGACAAACACAAATAGTACTTAAATGATAAACAATATTTAATTGTAAACTTTTTCGTTTTGTTTTGTTTCTTTCATAAAGCATTTTTCTTTTTTTTTTTTTGTTTAAATTATTCATTGGTTTTTCAAGTTTTCATGTTTTTCTTTTTGTTTATGAAATACACTCAGGATAATCCGATGAAATTATATTTTAAAACTTATTTATAATTATCATTCCCTGTTTTGTTTTTTTTTTTTTTTTTATTCGAATAAAGTTTTAATAAAACAACAACAAAAACAACAAAAAATTTAAAACATTTAATTATAATTAATGTATTAAATTTAAATGTGTTCACTTTTTTTTTTTGTATTTTAATATACTTTTATATTTTGTTTAGAAAGAAAATAAATTTATAAGAGTATTATTAGGTTTTTTTATTATAAATTACTATGATAAATTTTGTTTTAATGTTTTATTTTCAATTAATCATTTCAATAACTTTTATTTGTTTAAATATTATTAGTTTTTTTTTTACTATTGATTTACCAATAATATGTAAGAATTATTTATTAAATACTTATATTTTTTTATCGCGTAATTTGACTACAATTAAAAATAATAAAAATATATTTTAAAAAAAAAAACTAATTTTTTCCTTAATATTTTATTGTTTAAAATAAACATTTTTGTTAACGGTCAATCGACATTTATTTATTGGATTTTTCTAGAACACTGTTTTATCGATTAATTTATGTTTATTTAAAATTCCGAAAGATGACTCTCGTTGACTAATATAAATACGTAGTTTAATCAAAATTACATTTTTTTAATCTTTTTGAATAATCACATTTTAAAAATAAATTATTCGATTTCGATCGGTTTTTTATAATTTAATCGATATTAAAAATAAAACGTTTTATTTTATTTAAATAAATATAGTTAAACCTTCTCGCAAAATCACGGAAATCATAAGTAGAAACGAGAATTTGCGAGACCTCGCAGCCATTTTGTGCTAGTACAGTTTTTGATGTTCGTGGTGTGTATCGTAGTGTTTATTTTTACAAAAATTAGAAATTAAATCGATCAATTAATTGTTTATTACATTGAAAAGATATAATTCGTTATATATGTCGTCCAAAAATTATAATTTTCAAAAGCAAGGGACCTTTTTAAGCGGAAAATTGGTTAAGAAAAAGTGAATTGTTGGATTATTAGAGAAGCGTGGCCGATTCCTTTGTCTGTCAACAATTCGGCTTGAGGTACGTAGCTTTGAGCCCGTATTTTTTTAAAATAATGTTTTTTTGTGCATTTATAACTGTTTACATAAAAATTAATAAGTAAATGGCGATTTTAAGTGATAATAAAAGGGTTTATTGGTCAAGTCCAATTGTCTTTGATGGACTTTCAAATGGCGTCCGCTGCGTTGACCGCAGGCGGGCTGAGACGCGTCCTTGCAAATTTTTGTTAAATCCGCCAAAATTTTTTGGTTTTTATGGATTAAAAAGTTACCTTTCTCATCGTTGAATTTGAAAATAAAAATTGCGGCTTAAATTTCAACAATATATATCCCGAAATTGTGCATTTTCTCGTTATTAACTCCAAGCCCATGTATTGGGAAATTTTTATTTGCCTATTTCATTTTAACTTATAAGGCATACACAGCATTACATTTTCAAAACTCACTCATACACCCATTTTTGTATAAAAATTAATTAATTTTAATAATTAATTATGTTAATGTATATGTTTACGTATAATTATCATGCAAATATTTTTTTATATTAATAATAATGATGATGATGATGATGATGATGAGAAATAATTAAGAAATTAAATGGTAGTAGTCTTTTTTAAATTTTGGAGGTTAAATATTAGCATAATTTTTGTTCCGATTATTATTTTATTTAGTTTTTTTTTTTGAATTACAAAATATATAATTTCATATATAAATGTGTTAATTAATTTTTTTTCTCTTTTTTTTTATTATGGTTGAATAATAAATATGATTTGAGCTATCATGCGGTCAGTGGAATTAAAACAATACGAAAGCTTAATAATAATTATTTAAATCGTATATTGTCAAACATGATTTACTTTTCGAGTAATAATTTAAAATTGTTTTTTTTTTATTTAATAAATTTAAATTGTTTGATGCTTCATATATATATATATATTGAACAAATTGAAAATGAACTCATCGCTCTAAAACTGTGTTTAATCTCCTTCATCGTTTTAAAATCGATACAAATCTTACGAGTAAAATAATAATGATTAGTCCAAAATTAAATTTTCAATATATATTATAAAAAAATATAGTGACATGGATGCACATATTTCATAAGTTTGTGCTCCTAATCATTTCTTTTTTAATGATAAACAATTTATAATAAATGTGTAATGTGTGTGTGTGATCATGTGTAATTTTTGTTTGGTTGATAATGTTATTATTATTACTTTATGATTTAATTATGATGTTTTTATTATAATGGAATTTGAAAACTTTTTTTTTTTTTTTTTTATCTTAGATGTGTTTATGTTAACACACTCATATATCTTTAATTTAATGTTTGTCGCCAGTCTCGAGTTAGGAATGTGCCAAAATTGCAAATCGATTATTATTATTAATATTACAAAACAGGAAAATTAAAAATTATTATTATTATTTATTGAATCAAATGTAAAAGTCATAATAGTTTTTTAAAAAAAAAATGGGTTAAAAAGATAAATGTGTGAATATGTCGATGAAAACAATTTTTTGGCAATTTTTGAAATTTTATTTAGGTACACAATCATCAATCGAACCCCCTGGTTGTTGTTGTTGTTGTTGTTATTGTTTCCACCTTTTTTTTTTTTTCTATTTTTATACAAAATCAGCGTGTTTGTGTAATTTTTTTTTTTTTTATTAAATGCTTGCTTTTGTAAAAATTTAGGCATGATTTTTTTTTATTTATTATTTCTATGTCAGCATTTGAAAAAGTGTGTGAAGTTGAAAAAAAAAAAAATTTTTTTTTTGTCAGCCTTAAAAATATTTGTATTTGCTATACGTTTGTTTTTTTTTTTTTTTTTTTTTTTTTTGTTTCCCCCCTGATTTTCACAAAATGTTTTTCCATGTTTTCATTCTCTCATTTCCTCTCTCACTCACTCACTCATTCTTTTGTTTGTAAAAAAATTATTATTATTATTTTTTAATCGAGATATGTATGTGTATGTTCTTTGAAGCGTCACGTTTCGTTAATCGGTAGCTAAAAGTAAATTCGGGTAAATTATTTAAGAAATTTTGTTGTTTTTATTTTATTTGGCCGACTTATCACTTACACAATATAAAAAAAAAAAAATAATTCCTTGACTTGTTGTGTTGTGCCTTTTATTGTGAATAAAAAAAAAAAAAAAAATTTTTGAAATTGATTTGATTTGACTTTGTGTGTGTGTGTGCGTGTGTGTGCGTTATTTATAATAATTACGCTTAGAGATTTTTAATTAAACGTCAATAAAGATTAATTTTACAAGAGTATTGAAATTATTCATTCATGTTTTCTCACTATATCAACCGTACACACACACACACACACACACAAGGTGGTATGCATTATAGACTCAGGAATTTTTTCAGGTTACGGCGCTAACTTGTCGAACCACCTATTTTTTTTTTTTTTTATTATTATTGTTAACCGTGCTTAAAATGTGCTCAGGTGATCAAAAATATTATTCATATATATATACATTCAATTTAATACAATTAAAATGAAATAAAATCGAATTGTGTGTGTGTGTGTGTGTGTGTGTGTGTGTGCCTGATTGATTGATTCGTCTAGTTTTTTTTTTTTTTTTTTTTTTTTTTTTTTAGCTTAGTTTTTTTTCGGTCGGTTGATGCTGACTCAAAATATCTGGACAGCAAAAAAATTTGCGCTAACTTTGCTCGTTCAAAAAAAAAAAAAAAAAAAAGAAAAAGAAAAGAAAAAAACTTGCCGTCATCAAAATTACTTACTTTCTTTTGCTTAGGAAGGAAGGAAGCGTGATGGGAAGAGGGGGAGGGGAGGGGAATAAAAGAAAGAAATATAATTATTTAAATATGTAAATAAATAAATACACACACATATATATGTATAAATTTCAATCACGGTTATTCTAAAAACAAATTATGGAATTTCATTAATTTTGGTTTGTACGATCGTGTGCACGCAGGACTTATGTACATATATACATAAATATTTTTTTTTTTTTAATTATGTAATTTTTTTTTTTTTTAGAATTTCAATTTGCTTGCCACGCATGGTCGATATTGATGAATACACAGTATTGTTTTTTTTTTTTTTTTTTTCCTCTCTCTCTCTCTCTCTCTCTCTCTCTCTTTCTTTCTCTTTATCTTTCTCTCTGTCTGTCTCATTTGTAGGTTTGTAGGTTAATTTTTTTTTTTTTTTTTTTTACATTTAACAATTTCGCTTATTATTCAATAGTTTTGTTTTTTTCCTTTTTGTTTTCGACTTGAGGGTGTGAAGTCGTTTATTTATTTATTTATTTTTAATTCTTATATTTTTAATAATATTTAAGGAAAAGAGGGAGAGAGAGAGAGAGAGAGGAAAAGTGTAGTAATAATAATGATAATAATGATAAGGTTAATAACGCAAACAATATTCAACTTGTTTGTGATAGATTTTTTTTTTGGTATATTTTTATCCTGTTATTGAAAGTATTTAATTTCTTTAAATAATATATACATGTTGTGAAACACGGTCAGTTTTTTTTTTCCATAATATTTTATTTAAGAAGTAAAAATTTATTAAAATATACACGGCATTTATAAATTTGAAAGAGAGAGAGAAAAAAACGTTGTGAACCTTGAATTTTTTTTTATTTTTTTTTTTTAAACTCATTAGCAGCGATCGTAATCATAGATCACGATTATGAATTAAATATAAATAAATTTCACCGATTGTGTTTTAAAATTTTCAAAAGGAAGTTGTTGTTGTTGTTATTATTATTATTATTACTTTGTTTTTTGTTTTTTTTTTTTTTCGTTTTCGAAATGAACGAGTGAGAATTATTCAGGTACAGGTATAAAAAAAAGATGAAGATGAAGAAGATGAAGAAAGAAAGAAAGAAAGAAAGGGAAAAAAATGTGAGCGGGCGCAGCAATTTTTTTTTTTTGGTTGACGTTAAATTTACTTTTTAGGCATCAAAGTTGAAATTCTTTCCGTCTCTCTCTCTCTCTCACTCTCACTCTTTCTTTTTTTTTTTCTTTTTCTCTTTAACATACGCATTTTCTCTCTCTCTCTCTTGTATTAGACATGGGAGCGACGTTCAATAGCAAATTTTCCACATGAATAATTAAAACATCCTTGAATAAACCTTTTCTAAACGTGTATAATTCATTGGTTCAAGTAGTTTGACTTTTGCAAATATTTGAAGAAGTTTTATTTAAGATCAAGCGACAGGAGGAATTTTTCTTTTAATTTTTTTTTTTTTACAGAGTTTATAATTAATATTAGTAATTGAAATTGTAAATTATTATTATTATTATTATTATTATTATTATTATTATTATTATTATTAATATTATTACATTTCTTAACGTTCATTTCGAATCGACGTCGACTGGGGTTTTTTTTTTTTTTTTTTTTTTTTTTTTTTTTTTTTTTTGGAAATGGGTTGGGGGTAAAAAAACCCCAAAAAAACTGGGTTTTTATGAGTTTGAAACCTTAAAATTTTGCCTGGGTATTGAACTTCATTACTTTTTTCCTTCCCCCTCCCCCAACCCTCCCCATTCTTAATTTAGAAAAATGTTGTTGTTGTTGTTATTATTATTATTATTACGACTGTTATTAAGGTTTTTCGTACAATTCGGATAAAGTCGTTTTTTTTTTCAATCTTTATAATTTTTGATTAGCACGGCGTGTTAATTATCATCATTTCATCAACATTTATTTATTATTATTATTATTAATTCCTGTGTAAATTAATGGAAGCCCAATAAATAATAATAATGATAGTAATAATGGGAAACAATTTTTTGTTTTTTTTTGTTTCGTGGGTGCTCTCTGCAAAAAGTCGAGTTGTTGAAGTTGATGAAAAGGTTTTTTTTTATGATTAACAATTCGAAGTGAATTCAATTTTTTTTTTTTTTTTTTTTTTTTTTTGATTTTCGTCCCCATGTTATCGACATACATATATATACATATCCCCCTTTTTTTTTTTTTTTTTTTTTTTTTTTCTCTCATTGTCAATTTATTCAACGAGCTTTTTCTCTACTCCCTTGGCAGTAATAGGCTTTTCCCATCCCACGAATGATACACGTCATACCTACTGTTGTTCTCACAATTGAATCGATTATTTATTTTTTTTCTTATTGAATTTTTTTTTTTTTTTTTTTTTTTTTTTTTTTTTTGTTATTCGTACGCACGTTTGAACAATGGCTTCACTCGCAAAAAAAAAAAACAAAAAAAACAAAAATATTATTGAGTTAATGAAAAAAAAAAAAAAATTAAATTAAAATAAAAACGTTTTTTATTTTGTTTTGTTATGAATTGTATTAAATAACTGACTAGATGTTGAAAATAAGTAAAAATAAAAAAAGTAGGAGTTGGGGTCATTATTATTATTATTATTATTATTATTATTATTATTATTATTTTAAAGTTAATATTGTAGTTTGCAAAAAAAAAAAAAAAAAATACCGTTAATATTAGGCGACACGATTCTTGGCACACGCTTTTTATTATAGACCCTTTGCCGGTTCTTTAGTAAATGTTTTTTTTAAAAAAAAAATCGAAATCAATGAATCCTGTCGACCTAATAAGGTACAAAATTTTTGCGCGGTTATTTAAAAAACATGTTAAAAAAATGAATTTTTTTTTTTGTTTGCTGCAAAATTTCCAATCACGTTTATAGAATAAACATTTTCACCATTTTGAGTCGTCGTATGAATTATAATTAAATTTTAAAAAAAAAAAGAGTAGTTTAGAGACTTACACTCCTAATTATTATTTATTTGTTTTGTTGCAAAATAACAACAACAACAACAATTTCAAATTCTTTTTTATACATTTTTTTTCCTGCCCCCTCTCCCCCCCCCCCCGAGATGAAAATTGTTTGTTGGGTTCTAACGGGGGAAAAGGAAATTCTTTTTTTTTTACACGATAGATTATTGTTAATTTTTCCGCTTTTCCGAAACGATAATAACGATTTTGCAAATGGTGGTAAAAAGAGTAAAAAAATAATAAGAAAATGATGAGAGAGAAAATTAATAAAACAAAGTTGTGTGGTAAATATATTTGTTCAAGTGTGAAATCGTATTTCACAACTATCTCTTATATCTATAACGTAATGCCAACCAACCAACTTTCTTCTCTTCAAGTCTTGTGTGGACAAGTTTTAAACGATGAGACTTGTTGATAAACAAAATTTAAATTTTTTGTTTTTTTTTTTTTTTTTTGTTATGTTGACGACTTGCATTATTACTTTTTCACACGTAGTAGTAGTGATTGCATGTGAAAATTTATTTAAAAAAAAAAAAAAGAAAAGAAAGAAAGAAAAGGGAGAAAGAGAGAAAAAGAAATGACGATAGGTGGTAGTAGGTGGAAGGGATGGGGGAGGGTGTGTGTGACAGTTTTGAAAAAATAAAAAAAAGTAAGAATTCTGTCGTAAAAGTAAAAAAAAAAAAAAAAAAAAAGGAAAAAATCTTGAATTATTAAGATAGTCTGAAAGGTGGATGATGATAAGTTTAAAACTTTAAAGTTAAAAGGCCCGAAACCATTTGTAAACTTTTTTTCCTC